CCCCAAAACCCCAAAACCCCAAAACCCCAAAACCCCGATTTTTCTACCAGCGTTTGAAATATGAAAATGATATAATTTTATTCCAATTTCTGTACAACATGTCGAGAAAAGTCTCTACTTCAGAGGAAAATAGCATACCAGTCACATTAGATTTACGTAAAGCTAGTGATACAGCTTCTTATGGTTTCAGAGAGATGGTAGAAGCCAACCAGGAGCATAGCCAGAACAAGCCCTTTATTAATAACCATCAGAAAATAATAAAGAGACATTCTGTTTCAGAGGATCCTAGTGAACTTCTTGTAGGAATCTCTGATATGTTTGTGAAGACTGATCTAATGCAGAAAATCAGCTATTCCTCTATAAGTCACCATAATGATCACAAATAAAGGTAAGCTTTAGAGGAAGGTTTTATCATGTTTTATCTCTTCCAAGGTGTACTAGAATATGATCCCAAAAGGGTATTAGAGAATAGCAATCTTAAATTTTACCATTGAGGCATGACTCTGGATATATATACATTCCCTCCTCGAACGTTAGATGTAAACCCCAGATTATTAATGTTGAGAATAATTTCTAAAGTATCCCTTTATATGTGTAGAAATGAGGAAAGTTATACCTAAGGCCCATACTCACAATAAACTATAGTTGACTGGAAGATGGTGTCCACTTCGATCCTGAACAAGTTTGCCCCATCGCACAATATCTTCATGCAGCAGTTAGACATCCTGCGCTCGAAGAAAGATGAAGCCAATGATGAGCAAAGGCTTGATGATGACTTTAAAGACACTCCTATAAGCAGCCCTAAAACTAGGAAGAAGGCAGATAATCCCAAAATTCAAAGATTAAGGCAAATTTCTATGAAGAATCAAGACTCATGGAAAGACAAGTACTCCAGCAGTCCACATCTGCAAGTAAGATATTTTATAATCTTCAGGAAATCTCGAAAATAAAAGATAAACACAAGCTCAGTCGCCTGAAGCTAAAGCATCTATGAGATATCATCAAGAGTGATAATAAAGGGATAATGAGTCACCTTAAAAAGCGTAGGAACAGCTGTCACCAAAGAAGCCCAAGATATCGTTTAAGAAGCTCGAAGAAGACTCTAAGAGCTACTAGTATTGACAAATAAAGAGATAAAACTAAAACCTTGAGAAAACATCTTCACCCATAAGCTTAAAGGTATGCAGTCTCTGACCTTCCTAGATTACAAAATGAAAGTAAGGAAGTCCAGTACATTCAGAGACACACAAAGACCCAAAACTGGCTTTTCCTTGAAAGACAAAATCCGAAGAAATCTCATAAGTATGAATTTTTCAAATAATTTTTAGAAAGAAATAAATCTAAATTGAAACCTAATATACTGACTTCGAAGAAGATCAAAAGTAGGTTTCCAACTAACTTGTATAGTCAAAAGAAATCTTTTGAAAGATAGAAGGTCAAGAAGTACGGTTTATGGTATAATTTCTAGGAAATTTTCCAAGGAACAACAACTCTTTGCCGCGCCCATTGTTTAAGAACACCCAGAAATATACAGTGATCCCTAACAATAATGAATTTACTGGTTCTAATGAGCAAAACGCTTTGAATTGAGTGCATGTGCAGCCCTTGAGAAGCCCACCAGCTGTGAATAAACCACAAGAGTCACATAAGAAGTCATTGTCAGTTCAGAATCCCAAGCTGCAGATGGCCCAGATCTACCTCCAAGATCTTCTTGCTTAGACTCTCATAATAATATTTGATCATTTTCAATATTATACAGAAATATTGGGGTTTTGGGGTTTTGGGGTTTTGGGG